TATTTTTTCTTCATACTACTTAGCACCATCTCACACATTAACTTATTGACTGTCTCCCCTCACTAGAATGAAAGTTTCATGAGGGCAGAGACTTAGTCTCTTTTCCCCCTTACCTGAGGACATGCTTTTTATGATTTTAGAGCAAGCGGGGGGTGGGGGGGGGGGAATAAGAAGGAAGGGAGGGGGAGAGAATTGATGTAAGAGATACATCAATCAATTGCCTCCAGTATGTGCCCCAATGGGGATCAAACCTGAAACCTAGGCATGTGCCCCAATTGAACCTGCCACCTTTCTGTGTATGGGATGATGCTCCAACTAACTGAGCCACACTGGCCAAGGTGACACTCTGTCTCTTTTAACAAAAGTATCTTTGATAAATGCAAGGGAGACTTTAAATTTTTTTATATTTTTGTTGATTTCAGAGAGGAAGGGAGGAGAGAAAGAGAGAGAGAGAGAAACATTGATGAGAGAGAATCATCAATCGGCTGCCTCCTGCACGCCCCCTGCTGGGATCAAGCCCACAACCCAGGCAGGTGCCCTTGACCAGAATTGAATCTGGGACCCTTCAGTTCCCGGGCCAGCCCTCTGTCTACTGAGCCAAACCAGCTAGGGCTGCATCAGAAATTCTAGATGCTCAATGAATACTGTTAATGAGAAATATATAACTGACATTCCACTCATGAGAAGAAAATAGAATTAATAGATTGAGACTGGACGAAGGTCCATTGCTTTAAGATTTAAGGACGCTTTTCCCAGAAAATAGGATACATATGTGACTGAGGAAGAGAACATATAACATTTGCAAAGTTCGTATCTCAAGTCCCTCTTTGTTCAGAAAGTATGCAAACCTAGTCTTCGTATTTCTTCTGGAGAATAAGGAAAAACTTTCACTCCGGTTTTCTATTTCATAGAAATTGTCAAGAGAAAATGAGCGATGACTAGATTCCAAGTTACATAAAGCATTTGCTGGCATTTGGAACTTCAGAGAAAATTAACGAGAGGGGGCGAGAATCTCTCCTCTGGGAGACAGCACTTCAATACAGCAGAGCCTCCGTTGGAAGGTTCAAGAGCCTCTGCTTGTAGTCCATCCCCAATCCCGCGAGCGTAATGTCATCTATGGCTCAGATCACTGAAGAATCTCACCTTCAGGCAAAGGACAGGAAGCAGCACTGAAACATCTCAGTACTACTGAGTATTCTATTCGACAGGGAATAAGTGGATTGAAAAGCTCCGTCGCATGTTCTGTCTCTCGGTGCCCTGCAGTTTTCCATCTTATTGTCATTTTTTAAATTTGGAGAATAACTTAGCCTTACCAACCCTGGCAAATCTACATGGTAATCATTCTTCCAAGTCTTCTCCAAAGGTCCTACGGCCAGTTACATGGGGAGCTGTTCACTGGGGGCACAGAATGTAAATTTGATTTTTTATAGCTGTTTTGCTTTGTCTTGTCTTGTTGTAGGGTTCTTGGACAAATGGGCTGAGTTCAAATGGATACCCAGGGACATGAAGTGCCCTTAGAGCCCAATTGTTAGAGTAGAAGCACATGGGAAGCAAGTAATAAGTCCTGTTCTGGCCTAGATTTGACTCATGGTAGGTCTACTGGATTTACTTGGTTCATGAACTCACCCAGTAGTTATTTCTCTGGTCCCTGAATGTATGTACATAGTATTGGGCAGAATTAACAGTAATTCTTTGACATGTGAGGTAAGAACAGTTGCAGTGAAAGCTTTGGAATCTCCTTTACTCTAACTGAGCTAGTTGATAAAAAGCATGAGACTGCCACTCCTCGTTATGATATAGAAAATAACAGCAGCCCAGCCGAGTGATCTGTGGTTGAGTGTCGGCCCACGGACCAGGAGGTCACAGTTCGATTCCCAGTCAGGGCACATGCCCGAGTTGTGGGCTCAATCCCCATGGCGGGGAGGGGGAGGTGTGCAGGAGGCAGCCGATCGATGATTCTCTCTCATCGTTGATGTTGCTATCGCTCTCTCTCTCTCTCTCTCCCTTTTCTCTCTGAAATCAATAAAAATATATTTTAAAAATATTATATACTTTTAAAAATTGCTATAATATGAAGATTCTTCCACACCCATTCATGGATTAAAAGACTAAAAGTTGGCCCAGCCAGTGTGTCTCAATGGTTGGGCATCAACCCATGAATCAAGAGGTCACCAGTTCGATTCCCAGTCAGAGTACATGCCAAGGTTGTGGGCTCAATCCCCAGTAGGGGCCATGCAGGAGGTAGCCGACCCATGGTTTTCTCACATCCATTTTCTATCTCTTTATCCCTCTCCCTTGCTTTCTCTCTCAAATCAATTTTTTAAAAACCATATAGAAAAAGACTCAAAATTATACGTATTTCATGTCTCTCCAAATGCAATGCAATTCCAGTCACATTTTATAGAAATTTACAAGCTGTTTCTAAAATTTATATGAGAATGCAAAGAACCTAGAATATCCAAACCAAAATTGAAAAAGAAGGATAAAATAAAATATTTACATTGTCTGACATAATGATTTTACAGCTACAATAATTAAGAGAATGTGAATGGCCTAAGCACAGATGAATAGGTCAATGGAACAGAAGAGTCCAGAAATAAACCAACACACATATGATCAACTCAGTGGCAAAAGGAAAGTCTTTGTAAACAAATAATTCTGGAACTGGATAAACATATGGGAAAAAAATGGGTCTCTACCTCTACGCAATCATACAAAAAAATTAGATTAAGATGGACCATAGAACTAAACATAAAAGCAAGATTCATAAAGCTTTTAGCAGAAAATACAGGTATGTATATATTCATGATTTAGAGGGAGGAAAGGTTTCTTAAATCAAAACAAAAAGCATTAACCATAAAGGAAAAACATGATAATTTAGATTTTATTAAAAATAATTTTCTGCTTATCAGAGGCACCTTTGAAAGTGAACAGTCAATCCACAGACTGGGAAAACAGTCACAGTATAACCCTAAGAAAGAAATCATAGCTCCAATATATTCTTAAAAATTACTACAAACCTACAATATAAAGAAAAACAACCCTATTTTTCTAAATGGGCAAAGACTTGACCAGACAATAAGAGAAGATATAGGTATAGCCAATATCACATGAAAATGTGCTCAAAATCATTAAGCATCAGGGAAAAGTAAATTAAAACCACAACAAGGTGTCATTTCACACCTCTTAGAGTGGTTAAAATCAAAACAGTAGTACCAAATGCCAGTAGTACCAAATATTGACAAGGATGTGGAGCAATTATAGCCTCATATACATATTGTCAGTGGGAATGAAAATTAGATAAGTAAAACATATGTCCACACACACAAAAAAAAACCTTGTATATCAATGTTAAAAGCAGATTTACTGCCCAGCCGGTATGGCTCAGTGGTTGAGTGTTGACCCAGGAACCAAGAGGTCGCCATTCAATTCCTGGTCAGGGCATATGGCCAGGTTTTGGGCTCAGTCCTCAGTGCGGGGCATGCAGGTGGCAGCTGATAGATTATATTCTCTCTTATCAGTGTTTCTAGGTCTCTGTCCCTCTTCCTTCCTCTTTCTAAAAAATCAATAAAAACATATTTAAAAAAAAAAAAAAAAGAAGCCCTAGTCAGTTTTCTCAGTGGTTACAGCATTGGCCTGCAGACTGAAGGGTCACAGATTAGATTCCATCAAAGGCACATACCTCAGTTGCAGGCTCAATACCAGGCCCTGGTCAGGACGTGTGCGGGAGGCAACCGATCAATGTGTCCTTCTCACTTCTATGTTTCTCTCTTTCTGTCTCTCCCCTTCCCTTCCTCTCTCTTTCTAAAAATCAGTGGGAAATATATGTCCTCAGGTGAGGATTAACAGGGGGGAAAAAAGCAGCTTTACTTATAAAAGTCAAATCTTGGAGATAATTCAAGAATCATCAACAGGAGATTAGATAAACAAGTTATGATCAATCTAACTATTGGAATACTACTGGGTAGTAAAAGGAACAAGCAGCTGGTACTAGGGGCAATGTGGACGATCTCAAAACATTATGGTGAGAGAAAAGCCGAAAGAAAAAATTCATACAGTATGGTTCTGTTTATTTTTTTAAATATATTTTTATTGATTTCAGAGAGGAAGGAAGAGGGAAAGAGAGACATAAACATCCCTGATGAGAGAGAATCATCCATTGGCTGCCTCCTGCATGACCCCTACTAGGGGTAGAGCCTGCAATCCGGGCCTGGGAATTGAACTGTGACCTCCTGGTTCATACGTCGACTCTCAACCATTGAGCCACACCAGCTGGACTGATTCTGTTTGTATGAAACTCTAAAAAAGCCAAATATAATATATTCAGAAAGTAGATCAGTGTTTGCCTGGGGTCAGTTGAGGGGGCAGAATAAACTTGAAAAGGACACATGAGACCTTTGAGGGCATAGAAGTGTTCTATATCTTGACTATGGTAAGTTTTACCACTTATACAACTGTCAAAACTCAGTGAACTATACACTTAAGATCTGTGCAATTTATTATTACTGAATTATGCTTCAATGAAAACCAACCCAACCAACCATTGATTAATTAAATATGTATTGTGCTTGGGCAGAGATTTGTAACACCCTTAAAAAACTAGATGTTGCCCTAGCGGGTTTAGCTCAGTGGATACAGCACTGGGCTGTGAACTAAAGAGTCCCGGTTGGATTCTGATCAGGGGAACATGCCCAGGCTGCTCGCTTGATCCCCGGTAGGGGGCGTGCAGGATGCAGCTGATCAATGATTCTCTCTCATCATTGATGTTTCTATTTCTCTCTCCCTCTCCCTCCCTCTCTGAAATCAGTTAAACTACTTTTTTTAAAAAACAACAAAAAACTAGATGTTGGTCCTACCGTTGCATGGCACGTCAGAGGACGCCCGCGCCAAGAGCGCGCGAAAAGCCGGAAGGCCCGGGCCAGGGGGACTTGGGGAGTCCTGTTGCTCTCTGGTCCCCGGGTTGGGCGCGGGCTGGGAGATTTTAGCGGTTCGGTGTCACAATGCTGCGCGTGGTGACCTGGACCATTAATGGGATCCGGAGCCCTCTGCAAGCGGAGGAGCCGAACAACTGTACCACCGTGGCCATGGCGCACGTTTTGGACAAGCTGGATGCTGACATCTCTGTCTCCAGGAGACTAAAGTTACCGGGGATGCACCGACAGAGCCCCTGGCTATCACTGAGGGCCACAACTCCTATTTCAGCTTCAGCCGCAACCGGAGTGGCCATTCCGGTGTAGCCACCTTCTGTAAGGACGGCGCCACCCCAGTGGCTGCTGAAAAAGGCCTGAGTGGCCTTCTTGCCCCTCAGAATGGGGATGTGGGTTGCTATGGAAACATGGGTGAGTTCAGCCAAGAGGAGCTTCGGGCTCTAGATAATGAGGGCCGGGCCCTCCTCACTCAGCACAAGATCCGCACCTGGGATGGTAAGGAGAAGATCTTGACCATAATCAACATGTATTGCCCCCACACTGATCCTGCGAGGCCTGAGTGGCTGACCTTTAAGATGCTCTTCTATCGCTTGCTGCAGATCCGAGCAGAATCCCTCCTGGCAGCTGGCAGCCATGTGATCATTCTGCGTGACTTGAACACAGCGCACCGCCCCATTGACCATTGGGATGCAGTCAACCTGGAATGCTTTGAAGAGGATCCAGAACGCGAGTGGATGGACGGCCTGCTCAGTAAGCTGGATTGCCAGGGTGGGTCCCACGTAGGAGCTTTTACTGATGCCTACCGCTGCTTCCATCCAAAGTCAGAGAGGGCCTTTACCTGCTGGTCAACAATCACTGGCGCCCGCCGTCTGAACTATGGCTCCCGGATTGACTATGTGCTGGGAGACAGGACTCTGGTTATAGACACCTTCCAGGACTCCTTCCTGCTGCCTGAGGTGATGGGCTCTGACCATTGCCCCGTGGGTGCAGTCTTGAGCGTGTCTTCTGTGCCGGCAAAACAATGCCCTCCTCTTTGCACCCGCCTCCTCTCTGAGTTTTCAGGCACCCAGCTCAAGATCCTTCATTTCCTACCTAGTCCATCCCAAACAAGAGCCTGTGTCCAAGCAGTCAGTGCTGCAGCTCAGCAATCAAACCCAGGGACAGAGGCGCCAAAACAAAGCCCATGTGCGCTCAATCAGGCCTCGGCCAAGTCGGGCTGACTCCAGCAAAGGCCAAAAAAACCTGATTAACTACTTCCAGCCATCCTCCAGCCGTCTCCAAGCTTCTACCAATTTGGAGCTTCCTATCATGCGTGCCCTTGTGACTCCAAAGATCCCAGAAGACGAGGTGATGGGCAAAGGGGTAGTGGGGCAGGCCAAGGATGCAGAGGCCAAGGATGAGAAGGAGCTACGGACCTCATTCTGGAAGTCTGTGCTGGGGGGTCCCTTGCCCATGCCGCTCTGTGGGGGCCATGGGGAGCCATGTGTGATGCGAACTGTGAAGAAGGCAGGACCCAACCAGGGCCGCCACTTCTACATGTGTTCCAGGCCCCGGGGGCCTTCCACTGACCCCTCTTCTGTCTGCAACTTCTTCCTCTGGAGCAGGCCCCGCTGAGCCCACCCAGGCAAGGGATATCTGGCCTGGTCAGCCCTGTACATGAACTGAGGCCAGCACCTTTCTATGCTGTCACCTCCTCCCGCAAGGCCTCCTTCCCCACCCCCTCCTCCTCCTTCACCTTCCTCAGGGATCCTTCTGTTTCTTCTTTCTCTTCCTCCTCTAAGGCCTCTCTCTTCTCTCTTCCTGCTTTGCTCCTCATTGGTGAGCTACTTGTGCCTTAATTCTGCACCCCAGTCCTCCACCCCAATTTCCATCTTCCTGTAAGAAGTACACAGGAACCAGTTGCTCCAGGAACTTTTAAGACCCTTTCCTTCCTTGCTAGGAAATGTATCTGCCTCAATAAAGTCTGTGTCTTTGTTTAAAAAAAACAACAAAAACTAGATGTTGCAGGAGTGCTGGTCTCTAGCACATTTCTATTGAGTCACCTGTGTGACCCCTACTATACTGATGAATCCCAAAGAATGGCAGTAGCTGCCTTCAAACCCAATCCAGTCGTAGCCCCAATTGCAGATATGAAATATTTACTACAACAGATTAACTTATTTTCAGATGCATAATATGTAGCCAGTGGTCTGGCAAATGTATTCTTTCCATCGCTCTCAAGGAGGACCAGACACAATTCACATCCATGCGAGACAGGCGACAGTATACCTTCCCGGGCTTTCCCCAAAGCTGTGTTAACTCCCCTGGTCTCTGCCACGACATATTCCAAAGAGGCCTAGAACATATGGACATTCAGTGTGACCTGACATTGGCCCACTATACCAACATATTATGGTAACTGGGCCAGATGAGCAAAGGGAGCTAGGATGTTGGAGGCCTTAGTAAAGCACTTGTGTTTCAGAGAGTCTGAGATAAACCTTATGAAGACTCAGCAGTTGACCACATCAGTGAAGTATTTTAGGATTTCCGTGGTCTATGCCAGGACTATCACACAACCAGGTTCTGGAGACAGACATCCCACACTTGCCAATACTGCTCCAACCCATTTACTGAGGGTTATGGAAGGTGACATAGATGACATTCTCTCTCATGAATGTTTCTATGTCTCTCGCTCTCTCCCTTCCTCTGTCTCTAAAAATAAATAAAAACAAAAAAGTAGCCCTAACTGGTTTGCTCAGTGGTTAGAGCATTGGCCTGCAGACTGAAGGGTCACGGCTTTGAGAGAAACATCAATCAGTTCCTTCCCATGCATTCCCCAACCTGGGTGTGCCCTGACCGGGAATCAAATCCACAACCTTGTGATGTACGGGGCAATGCTCCAACCAAGCGAGCCATGCAGCCAGGGCAATGCCATATGAAGTTTATGGCAAGTTCCTGTAGGAGAATCATAGTGGTAGACACCTAGAGTTCATGACTGTGGCATATACAGGAGAGAATTATAACTACGCTAAACACAGAAGTGGTACAGGCAGGCAACCCAGATGTCTACAACATCCAGGACTATTACAGTGATGTCTCCCCATCAGCTCACACCTATAGTGAGTGCCACCTGAGGCCCAGGGATGAAAGATGGGCAAGCTGAGTTCACAGAAGAGTTGGCTCAGTGTGGATGTACAAGCTAAAATTGGCTGCTGTTGCATTATATCCTCATTCAGAGGGAGGGAGGTTCTGAAAGAAAGTGGTGATGGGAAAATCCTCCCCAAAGACAGCCTTGGATGTGGGCTGCCCTGCGGAAGTGGTGTTCAATGGCCCAGCATCTGTGTCTTAGTTCAGCCTCATAGCACTCTGTGGGGTGGGGGAGGCCTCTGTGATGACTGCATCACAATCCATCTTCTCCCTCTGCCCAATCCCACTTCCCTCATATCCTTTATTCTCAAAAGCTCATCTCAATAATCGCCATAACTTGTGAACCAGGAAACCCAGCCTGCAGCAATCAATAAGAAGAATCAATATAATAAATAAGGATTAAAAGTGCCATAGTTTGCCCTAACCGGTTTGGCTCAGTGGATAAACCGTCGGCCTGCAGACTGAAGGGTCCCAGGTTCGATTCCGGTCAAGGGCATGTACCTTGGTTGCAGGCACATCCCCAGTGGGAGGTGTGCAGGAGGCAGCTGGTCGATATTTCTCTCTTGTCGATGTTTCTAACTCTCTATTCCTCTCCCTTCCTCTCTGTAAAAAATCAATAAAATATATTTTTTAAAAAGTCCCATAGTTTGCCCTGGCTGGTGTGGCTCAGTTGGTTGAGCGTCATGCTCTAGGTGAGCGTCATCCCACGCACCAAAAGGTCACAGGACTGATTCCCAGTCGGGGCATGTATCCAGGTACAGTGGGGCCTTGATTTATGAGTGTCCCGACTAACGAGTTTTGTGAGATACCAGCTGTCTCTCCGCTGACTTTTTGCATTGAGTTGACAGAGTAATTTGAGTTAACGAGCTCCTTAACGAGCTCGGTCTCGAAACGAATTAAACTCGTAAGTCAAGGCCCCACTGTATCAGGTTTGATCCCTGATCAGGGTGCATACAGGAGGCAACCTATCCATGGTTCTCTCTCACATAGATGTTTCTCTCTCTGTCCCTCTCTTCCTTCCTCTCTCTCTAAAAATCAATAAAAATATATATAAATTTTTAAAATTCTACAGTTTAGAAAGTTTGTGGGAGGCAGGGAGGAATGTTAGCTCTGCTTGGAAATTCAGGTTATCCATTTTGAAACGTATCTTGTGTTAGCTCTCTTATTTCAGAAAGTGGAGACATAAGACCTGGTGAGTCGGAGTAAGACTGCCACTCCACTACCTGACAGCAGAGAGCACTTTTGCCCGGACCCTGTCTAAACAAATTACTTTCCCCTTCTCTGCAGGAAAGGGAGGGTAGCTCCCAAAAGGCTAATGCTTCCCGATGAAACTGAGAGTTCTCTAGCGATCCACTTAGATGTATACATCCGTGGAAATTAATGTCCAATATTGTGGGGAAAGGCATATACAGTGTAGGAATTGCCAGGCTTGGAATATGTTACTCAAAGGGCAAATATTTCCTCCTCCCTTTTCCTTTGTTTTTATTGGACCTCAGGTGCACAGAATTGCATTACTCATAATCCTCTATTCATACCAACTTGTCATCATTTCTACATAAAAGCTCTTTTATTTATCTATTGTTCATTTGTTGGCTTGTTTGTTTTAATAATATCATAAACAGTTTCAAAACACCACCCAACGGAAAACTAAAATGATGACAATAACTTACACCCACATTAAGTGCTGGTCCACCCTACCCCTCGCCTCCCACCTTGCCACTTAAGTCCACTGTTGCTTTCCTTTCCTTTTAACATAATTTAATGCACTTATGTGTATTTATTAATAGCATATACCTTTGTTTGGGTTGTTTTTAAATTTATTTTTAAAAGGGTGATTTGATCCACTTTGTGTTATATTTCACAATAAAAACGTATTTTTTAAAGGTATCACGCAGGATGTCATCTCTGGGAACTTTTCACTTAAAATTATATTCCTAAATTATATTTATCTACTTTCTTTCTTGACTTTCCCTCTATTTTCAAGATAATGTGTTAACTCTGAGTATTATTTCTTTAAAAATATTTTTAATTTTTTTCTTTATTTCCTTTCTCTTTCCTAGACAATATTTTTTTTCCTCGGTATCATCTGCATGCCTTGCTTTTTGTCCAACAGAGTTTCAAGGAACCCTGGATTCTCTTGTTTAGCCTCGGGATCAGGGATGCTTGTTTCTCCAGAAAACCAGAATAGAGAAATTAAAAATGCCTATAATATAATGCCACGTGTGAATCCCCCTGTGCCTACAGCGAAACCTTGTTCTCGTAGGTCCCCGGAGCCCACCTGAGGCCTTGCACCAGCTGAGCTGTTTGTAAAGATGCATTTGGTGGGGGATAAAGAAATCTCCTGTGGCTTTGAAAACACATCCCTCGGAGAATAAAGGACCAAGCTGTTGGACATAATGAAAATCAAGTATTAACCCTACGTCATCCAGGCACTTCACACACCTGGAACAACAGCCTGATGCTTCGGGGAGACAATGGCAGAAAACGAATCTCATGTGTGTTCCAGATGGTTCTGAAGGATCCCAGACAAAAAGCGTTCTGTCCCCGCCCTCTTTTCAGAGCAACTCCAATTAAAATGTCCTCCTCTCCTCAGCTAAATCTGAAAAGTGAAGTGGTTGGATAAACCCCTGAGATGTGACAGGTTATCTTTATCCTCCCAACCTGCATGTGCATGGGAAGTTGTCCTGCAGAGAGAAACTGCCAACACCCCAACTAGTGAAACGACACTGACTTCTTAGCGGATGAAATGACCAACACAACACACGGATCTTCACAGAGGTCAGGTCAAAGCTGAGACCCACAGAGCTGGGCAGCCTGGAGGGCACATACACCCCAGCTCTGAGGGGCAGCAAGCAGTGGACGGTGCTGCCACATTCCTGTGAAGGCGTAGAGAACACAGTCCCACCATCACAACAGCTTTTAAAAGAGCAAATATTTTCTATTAAGTCGAAAGAAAATTATGTTTGTGAGACTAGAAAATTGTGTGGATGCAAATTCTCCAACCTAGTAATCACCTCTGATTCATTTCAATAAGCAAAGGTTTGGGGGAATTATTCACGTCTGAATCATTTTCACTGCTGCTTATTTGCAGAATAGATTGGAACTGTATGAATAAGAGACCTTCAACTCCTATTAACATTTTTGAATGCAATCGAGGCTCTCCAGAAATTAAAAGACAAACGTGGGTAAATCAATAAAAGAAAACATTATTTTATTTCACCTTGGGCTCAGCCACCCACTGCCTATCTTCTCTCCATCCTTGGAAATTTTTTTTTGGAGCTGACCCAGCTATAGGGAGACAGTCGTGAGGAGGTGGTGCGGGCATTGCAGCTGCAGGGAGCTGCCTGAGCAAAGATGGGTCTTTGTGGAGCTGGAAAAAAGCAAGTCACTCTTGCCCTAACCAGTTTGGCTCAGTGGATAGTGTTGGCCTGCACACTGAAGGATCCCAGCTTCAATTCTGGTCAAGGGCATGTACCTTGGTTGCGGGC